TTGTCGCTGATCCAGTGTTGAACTGATGTTGCTGTTAAAACTGTTTATTCTGAATTAAGGCTCGCCTATATAACAAAACTAAGGCCACACCTCCTCGATTACACATGCTGACCCGGAGGAACAAAGAAAGCCCAGACAAAGCTGGAATATAACAAACAAGGAAGTTTGGTGTTGCCACAAACAACTGGCACTGCTTCTCGGAACATCTGAGAGTCATCTGAGTGTCCGATCAGCTCGTAACATCAACAACCCCATTAATCATTATATTCAAAAAAACGTATTTCTGATACTTTAAATATTGCCAATTTGCATTCGAGGAACCATCTCTCGCTCCTTACAGTCGAATAAGAGAGGCAAGCAAAAAGGGTGATGGTACAGCTCTAAAAAATATTTGACAGAAACGATAGCTTATGGTGCTACCGGTCTCCGAAAGTAGCAGTTCTGGATTTCTGACTCAAAAGGATCCAGAGACATCTCAGCATTTTTCAGCTACCTGCATAAAGGCTTTTCCAAATTGGCAATCATTGCTGGTTTTGGTAATCGAATGCGCAGAAGGTTTCCTACTAGGTCCGGCAGGAAAACCATTTCTTGAAAAAGATTGTCATTCAGCGATTTTTTTGGCAATGAGCTTGCGATTGTGTCGTAGATCACTCTCAGCCTTGTATGCTGGAGAGTTTCTGGAAAAACTGGCTGATGCGAGACATATTTTCCTTCATTAATTCTCTTTCTGAGGTCCCACTATTCCCAGCGCCTGCCCCAAGTCTTAATTCACCAATGCTGAATAATTCATCAGAATACTTACCTGGCGGCTGCAAATCCCTTCCTTGGTCCCCATGGCGTCCAAAATGCGGTATCTGTCTCTCTCTGCTCTCTTCCCTCATCCACGTTTGCTGGTGATGTCGCCTTGGCCCTACTGGTTGCGTGGTCCGCAAAATATCATATTTCCGTGGTTCCTTGCCCAACATGACAGGCTATTTTTAGGGCTTTGCGGTCTATTACCTGTCTGGTGACGGTCTTCCCTCCATTCCATTTCGTCACGCGCCACTGTTTCTCTGTGTGCTTCTGTATCCCTCTCCTTCTGCAGTGGCTGCTGCATCTTATCATCATTCTCTTTAAGAAGTTTTTCTATATCCTGTAATGCATTTCGTTTGGGCTGGTCCGCCTCTTGTTTCCTATCCCTCCCAGACAGTTCATTCTGAAGCTGCCTTTCCCGCTCTTTAGTCTTTCTTAGCTCTACCGCGATTTCATTATATTTTCTAATTACGCCTCTGACTGAAGTGCACTTCTCAGCCACTACCAACTCAGCATCCTGCTTTGCAGCCACTAGCACCTCCGCCAATTTACGTGGCATGCTCACTCCAAAACTACGGGCTACCCCACACTTTACTTCCATTACTCAATACACTGCTTACGCACATAACTGCCTCTTCTGCTACTTTGCTAGTTATCTCCTTCCACTCTTTTTGAAACCCTACTATTCCTTCAAAGCACTCCTCCAGTTTCCTCGCCATTTGTTTATTCCCCTTTAGTTCATATGCTAACTTTGCTTTCAGCTCCGTTATCAAAGCCTCTACCTGATCCTGGAGTTTACAGCATCTATCATTAACACGCTTTCTTATTCTCCTACCTCGACGTCTTCTGGATGCAACTCTTTCTCTCCTAGAGGTACGTCCTCACAATCCAGAAACGGCGCGCCCTGTTCCATTACCCCTTCACCGCTCTCCTTTCACCACCTCCTGCTACCTGCGATCCCCACGCCTCACTCCTCTTTTCAGCACCAGTCAACCCGCGTCTCCCATGCCGCACTCCTCTTCTATTACTCAACCCGCGGCCCCACGACGCATTCTTCTTGTCCGCTCAGGTGGCGGTCCCCACGCCGCACCTTCTTACGTATCGGCCGTGATGCTTTTTGTCACCCCTTGCAGAGAGCCGGTCGATTCGTCAATAGGGCGGACCACCGGTTCAGGCCCCACTTGTTGGGTTTACTGCCTGGACGTTTCTTCGAAAAAAAGAGACAAAAAATGCCATTAGCAGACAGATAGTAATTCAGCGGAGTTCCAGAGTGAATAACCATGAGCAGCTGGACCTTAGTAAGTTTGAAATCAGTAGGCACTTGGGAATACTATTTTGTTCAATTCCACTTATAAAATTGTCAGTTTCAACACAGAGAATACAGCACTTAAGAAGAAATGAAACGTCGCAGGAATACGAATAAATATCGGAAAACTATGATCCCACCGTGCAGCATTCGCCGAGGTTGTTTCTAACTTGAGCAATACAAATAATAAATTTTCTTAGATTATGTTACTTGTTTTCGCAAGGTCCATAAAGCAAACACATTTCGAATTAACGCCTTTCTGAACGAGCTATTGCACAACAACATGGATCCGTTGCACTTAAAGCTTTCACAGAATAAAGTCCACAATATTAAGTCTTTTTTCGGGAACTAAATGCGAGAACTACCAACTTAAGCTGCCCATAAGTAAGAAACCTGGCTTAACCAACATCATCGCCGCCAAAATTACATCCCTTCTCAGCCTCTTTATTAAGCATAAGAAAAATTAGATTTTGGAGCAAAAAGAAATCGGAGTTTTTTCATTTTTTTCTGACAACATAATCATCTATGCAACAAAATGAAGCTAAACCGGCAAGCGGTGT